GCGCCGATCCCGGCTGAGCTGATGAACGAAGGGGGCGGCGGCTCGGGGGCGGCGGAAGAGGCGGCTGGAGAGGGGAGCACCGCGGCAGCGGCGCTAGAGGCGCCGGCGGGGGCGAGGGCCGCGGCGGCCGGGGCCGGTAGCGGAGCCGGCGGCGGGACGGGCTCGGCGAGGGCGGCGGCGGCTCAGGCAGTCGCGCCGAGTGGAGGGGCCGAGGGGAGCAGGGTGGCGAACACCGGGCCGGCCAGGGCTGATCGGACTCCATTAGGGCTGGGCTCGGGTCTGTTACCGACAGCCACGGCCCAAGAAATTGCGGCCCGAAAGGGAAAGGCTAAGATGGCTGGGTATGACGCAAATGGGCCTCCTAGGAATGGTGGGCCGGGACAGATGGGCCAGTATACGAGGGTCCATAACGGGCTGGGATGGCTGGACCAGGAATATGGGCCCGAGTATGACCAACTAAGCTTGGCGGGCCAGCAGGCCCAGTGGGCTGAACAGGAGATGAACCAGAAGGGGGCTGGTGGGCCGAGCAGGGCCGCCGACCAGGTAGGCCCAGGCGGGGCGGCTCCTTTTGGGCCGGGACAGGCGGACGGGCCAGGAGGGGGTCGGACCGAACCGGAGCGGACCGGTATTGGTCGGACCAGTGCTGATCGGACCGAGTTGAGTCGAACCGGACCCGGGCGAACCGGGATGGGTCGACCCGAGGTAGGTCGAACCGGGCATCGACCGAGTCCAACTACCCAGCCGAACCGGAGGGCGGACAGCAGGGGTCCAGGAGGAGGAGAGGGTCCTTATGAGGCGCCTCATGTCACAGGGGAATACCCGAATAAGCCGGGCTACTATCCGGGTGACTATGGACACGGAAATCCTAACCAGATGCAGTGCTCTCAGTGGGGGCAGCCATGGAGGACACCAGGAAATGACAGGTATGGGTCCCAGTATCCGGACTATGAGGGAATGGATGGGATAGTCTTTCGAGCTAAGCCTCCTACCATTGAGTTTCCCAAATTCAATGGGCAGGAGGATGCAGGTCTTTGGTTGTATGCAGTTGAAAGGTGGTTTAAGAATCACCCAATTCCGGAGGAGAGGAAAGCCTACCTGGCATCGTTCTATCTGGAGGGCGATGCGCTCCAGTGGTGGGAGTGGATGGAGAGATCCTATGCAGCAGCAGCAACCTTGATCACCTGGCCCATGTTTCAGGAGGAGCTCCGTTATCAGTTTGGGAAATCAGACGGGTGGGCTCCTGAGCAGTTGGCAAAGCTGAAGCAGACCGGCACCGTGGCAGAGTACCGGGCGGAGTTCTTCAAGTTGGGAAACCAGTGCAAGGGAGTCTCGGAGGACACCTTGGTGGGGCTGTGCATGGCGGGTCTCAAACCCGAGATAGCTGCGGCAGTCAGGGTGTTTGAGCCCGATTCCGTGAAAACTGCTTTTCGTCTTGCAGGTCACAAGGAGGAAGAACTGGCTAGCTGGAGAAGCACCATTGGCCGCTTCTCAAAGCCAAGCGGAGGAGGAGGAAGCAGCAGTGCTAGTGGCGGCATAGGTGGGGCACCCGGGGGAGGCTCGACTGGGGCCAATGCGGGCGGTGGAGGACCAGCTCCGGTGGCCAGGGTGGGGCAGCGGGCCATACCGAAGGGATTCGTGCGACTGACGCCGGCAGAGATTGAGCAAAAGAGGCGGGAGGGCAAGTGCTTCAACTGTGATGGCAGGTTCACCATTGGTCATCAGTGCCCGAAGCCGGATTTGATGATGCTGGTTGGGCGCTGGGAAGATGAAGCAGAGGAAGAAGCTGAGGATGAAGGAAATGGAGAGGAAGATGCCTAGTGAGCTGGAGGAACAACCTTGGGGACAAGGTTGTTTTTCGAAGGAAGAGGGGATGTGGGAAACACAATTATTTGCAGTTTTTGGTTATTTCGTATTAGAGTCGGTTTTTATTGATTGGGGTATTATTTGGGTATTTGGGGGAATAAACAGGGAGTTAATTGTTACGTTTTATTATTCGGGTAGCAGTTAGGAATTAGACAGGTTATATAATCTGTAATAGGGTCTTATTTTGGGATTAAGCAATTACAGAACCAAAAACCTAAATCCTAAACCTCTCTCTTCTCTCTCTCCTGCGAAATCTCTCTCTCCCTCTTGGCTCCAAAAGCTGCGGCAGCAGCTCCTCCCTTCCCTCTTCTTGTTCACAAAATCCCCAATTCTAATCCCTAGTTAGATCAATCCCTAATTGATCTAGCTAAATTCCCCAATTCCCATCCTGTAGGAAATCTTGTTTCCTACACGAAATCACAAGGAAGCAGCAGCATAAGACGAGTGAAGCAGCATATCAGGCACAAGGGCTACATCAACGCATAGCGCAGGAGCAGACACCTGCAACCAGAATAAATGTTCCCAGCATCAAACGCCCAAACCAGACAATACATACCCTTCTCTTCAAGACGTCATCATGTGCTGAGATTTTCTTCTAGTAGACAATCCACATGAAGACACAAAGTTTATGTGGGATCACCAATTGCCAGATAGCTTTCTGGGGGAAATCTTCTGTTAAATTGAAGCGACCACCTATTGAATGTTCATAGGCAGATCGGACCTTGAAGCCCGCGCGCTGGGGATGGAGCCCAAATCACTCGAGGAGGACTTACAAAAAACAAGTGAAGTGGCAAATTTTCAAGCATATTTAAAAAAATTTACTCTTTTTTAAGGCAAATTTTTACCACAGTCACTATGACTCCCTTGAGAAACGACCAACGTTTAATATTCAACTCGACGATAAAAAAAAGGATGATAATGAACACTGCAACGTCGCAAAACTTGGTTTATTATGGAGCGGTGGTGCACGTCGTTACTAAAGGGACGAGTTCCATCAGATTGTGCTTGACTATGACTCGAAGTAAAGATGTTTCTTTCATCTCTTCGATAGAGATTATGCATTGATGAGAAGGGTCACTTGTTACTCGAACCAACCTTGGAGGTTCTAACCCCATGCCTGGGTTTTCTTTTTACTCTTCTTTATGAAAAGTAGGATGTAAAACAAATTTAATAATAAGAGTGTTGCGGTCAAGTCCATTAACCACAGGATGACAAGCTAAACTGGTAAATAAAATATCATCTCATTTACCAGTTTAACTTGTCTCTCGTGATGTTTTTTCTCCTGGTGGTTGCTACACATTAATTCTTATTTGTTTCCTGAATGTTTGTCTTGGGAGAATTGGTTTGGCTTGTCCCTTGCTTTGCCTTGCCTTTCTTTCATTTCAATGTTGTGTTATTGTACTTCTCCTTTCTTTTGTTTTTAATAAAATTTGATCACCATTATCAAAAAAATATCATCTCAAGTAGTTCTACCTCTTTCATGGAAAAAATATAATACTTATGAACAAATCGTGTAATTATTGTGTTTGTGTGATAATTTTCTCTATGATATTTCCAAACTTTTACATGGTATAATAATTGTAGATATTGTGACATTGTTTAATTTCATACATTGTGTTCGACATATGAGATCAACCACTATGAGGATGGTGTTTTTTTATTGTAAATAAAACAAAATATGGTTGGACAAACAAATAAGATAGAAATATTGATTGAGACGTTGGAGTTAAAATACCACATGGAAAAGCAAGGGGAGTTTGAGAAGGGAAACCAAGTATAAAAAGAGAATTAAGTGCAACTTAACAACATACTTACCTGGACGGGATCAACAAGTGATCAATAAGCCTTGTGGTCTAGATCAATGACCTCCATTGCACTTAAGGAGGGGCTTTGGGCTAAGGTCTCCTTAATGTGGGAGAGCCTACGTCATAATTTGTGGTAGGGGGCATGCGTTCGCGTTGTCCCTATCCCAATTCTAAGTATAATTATTTGGGTGTAGCCCGTCCTGTTTTCAATCATTCGTTGGTTTAGTTCCATCGTGTTATCAATTGTTTTTTGGGCTAAGCCAATTGGATTTTCTTTTTACATCTTTGACGTAGTGTTCTTCACCGTGGAATAGATGGACTCCAAACCAAAATTTGAGTCTTTGGTATAATTGAATTGAAGTTTTGATGTTATATCCAACGGAAAAAAAAGTTTTGAGGTTACGAGGTATACGAGTCTCTTTATTTGAGGTTTGATTAAAAGAAGATAGTCACAACTTGGTGCTCCTAGTTTATACCTATCCCCTCCACGGTCACAATTAAATAACTTCTTATATTATTTTTTACTCGTTTTTATCAACGAACTGCACATAGATGAAAATGATGTTGTTTGTCTCGCACAATAGTTTGACATAGTGAATGAATGACGTTATAATAACCTTACACAATTCTAGCCCGGAAATCTCGTCCCTACCACAACCATCATACGAACAACACAAGCATGGTATTTCTCTTCACATGATTAAAATACCTATTACCTAGTGATTGTCATCGAATTTGGTTACTTGTCTAGGCATGTAATTGTAGCAAAATGACTGGATTCAACTACTGAATCTCATTATCCGTTTCTCCATAATTGACTTAACTTGTAAGTTGTAACATAATCAATGTTTCAATGAAGTACCCTTTGTTGCCAAAACAAAAGGACAGTACTCAAAATAAAAATCGTGAGCAACATGTGGTGGTGATCTATCCTATAGTCCAAAGTAATGCACAAATATACTATTGAGATTTTCACAATGCTGATTTTTAACATAACCAAGTATCATAAACTAATGATGATGAACATCATGTTTCCCATGTTGCAAACAAGAAGCAAAACAGTCACTTGGTTCCTTTTCATGGATTTTCATAATCAGTTTCCTTCTATTGTGTTAAGGGTCCAAATTGTCATTGTATGACTCCATGATCTATAAATTACAGAAGGAGGTAACCAAAGTTCTTCACATTTAACCAACCATAACCACTACCAAAACAACTCTGTCAAAGTTTCGAGCTTAATTCTTCTTCTTTACACCATAATGGGTTTTCATCAGTTATGGATTGTTACACTCTTGATTAATTGGCACAACAACTCTCGCCGCGATTTGCAGCACCATTGGATCAGCACCCCTAGAGGATAGGATCTTGAGGCTACCAGGGCAGCCAGAGGTTAGCTTCCAGCAGTATGCAGGGTATGTGACTGTTGATGAAACCCAGCAGAGGAAACTCTTCTACTACTTCGTTGAAGCTGAGACCAACTCCACTTCCAAGCCTCTCGTTCTCTGGCTAAATGGAGGTACTTAAATTTATCAGTTGATATTAACTAGCTATGTTTTGATTTTAAGCCACTGGCAGCACTAAGTCTGCTTTGTTTGTCTGATGGTATCAAGGCCTGGTTTCTCGTCGGTTGGTGGTGGAGCTTTCACTGAGCACGGCCCGTTCAAGCCCAATGTTGCAGGCTATCTTGTCAAAAATGAACACAGTTGGAATAAAGGCAATAACATGCATGACTACATTGAGATTTCTATGTGATGTGTTGGTTACTTGCATGAAGTTGATCATCAGTGTTAATATTTTTGCTGCTATATATGTATACAGAAGCAAACATGATATACCTGGAATCTCCTGCTGGAGTTGGTTTCTCTTACTCACAAGATCCATCATTCTACAACTCTGTGAACGATACCATAACAGGTTTTCGAAATTGAAATCCGATTATCAGATTGCGATATTTTGTTATCTAATCGTCTTCTCATGTATCTCTTGATGAAATCTTTATATTATCAGCTCATGATAACTTGGTGTTCCTCCAACAATGGCTACTCAAGTTCCCACAATACAAGAACAAAGATATGTTCATCACGGGAGAGAGCTATGCGGGTTATTAACTAACTTGTAGGGTTGCCAACAGTAGATTCAGATTATATGTTAAAAGATAAGACTAATTGATTACACTCCCCCATTTTCTCCAATAGGACACTATGTCCCACAACTGGCTCAATTAAGCGTGGAGTCGGGATCAAATCTCTGCTTGAGAACCATAGCTGTAAGTTTCAATAACTCGAGTTATCAGCCAAATGACAATGACAATGTTCTAGAGTAATGTATGCAATTCGTGTAACAACTTTTTGTGTTGCAGATAGGGAACCCGACATTAGATTTCGACACAAACTTTCAACGCGGAAGGGCAGTTCTATTGGTCTCACGGCTTGATTTCAGACGATACCTATAACCTCGCCAACACAGTCTGCAACACTTCACGGCTCAGGAGACAGGCCGTGTCAAGGAATTTGTTTGATTCCTGCAAAATCATTGCAGCGCAGCTTCATGCTCAAATTCCTGACCACGACTTCGATATGTATGATGTCACCGCCGATTCCTGTTTATCAAAACCTGGATCGAACTTTGGAGCTGCAAAGCAGCACTCTTGGGCAGACATTTTCCATCCATTTTCATCTCTGCGTTCCAACCAAGCTGGTGTCCGCAGAAATGCTGCGAGCTCGATGAATTTCCTCCTGCTCGATGAAATTCAGACCACCGAGCATACCATGAAAGCATAGCATAATTTTTTTGGTATTATAATTGCAGAAAGCTGAAGATTCGATAGACCTTTGCATACAAGATGAGATGAACAAGTACTTAAACAGGAAATATGTTCAACAAGCTATACATGCCCAGCTTGTAGCCGTCAGCAACTGGACTGCTTGTACCCAGTAAGAACATACATTGCTAACCGATCAAAAATGGAGTGCTGTGTACTAATTGTTACACATGGCTTTGCTCTCTAATGTCCAATTTATGAAACTGCGTGCAGTCGCGTAAAGTACGACGAGAGCAACTTGGAGAATCCAACAATTGGAGTGGTGGGATCGTTGGTGGGTTCGGGCATTCGAGTACTGGTTTACAGCGGAGATCAAGATGCTGCAATCCCATTCATAGGTACAAGAAGCCTGGTGAATCGTCAGTCGAAAAAGTTGGGATTGAACACTACTCTGCCTTACAAGCCCTGGTTCGATGATGAAAAACAGGTTAATTTATACTAACTCTTGGGTGCACCAAATTAAGCACAGGGTTTGATTGATATACTATTCTTCTTCTTTTCTAAATCAAAGTATTTGTTCATGAAAACCACTCTCTGTTCTGGATGTTTTCAGGTTGGTGGATGGACACAAGTCTACGGGGAGAACAACAAACTTGCATATGCAACCATTAGAGGAGCCTCTCACATGGCCCCACTCTCCTCGCCCAAGAGATCACTCACTTTATTTGCTGCATTTCTTGCTGGGAAGCCATTGGCAGCTTGATGATGCTGATCGATCTCTCAACATGGACGATATGGATTATTATGGAAAAGCATGTAGTCCAAAAACTTATCCTTACTGCACTTTTTTTCTTACTAGAAAATTGGCCCGCGCTCTGCGGCGGGTTATCGAAAATAAATCGATCGATTAATATTAAAAAGTATATTGGTGTACTTAGAATCGTAATCAACTTTTCAATCTCTTTAGACTTCGTTGGAGATGATCTTGAGTTAAATAACTAAACTTATATTTATACAACATGAACTTAGATTGAATAGTTGAATATATAATAGTAGAGTTGATATTTTCTAAATAATAATAATAATTTTTTTTTGGTAGAATCTAAATAATTATTGATGAGACCATATTGTACTTGGATATATTTATGTTTATAAATAAGTGGTGTTTGAACCTTATACACTTACAAAATGTAAGAAAATATAATCTTTACCCTTAAGTTTACCCCATGACTATTTGATGTTTATTTTTTGGCCTTTTTCAAAAGCTGCCATATATTATCTGATAATTAATAATTCTAGTAGCTTCAATATGAATAGGATACCAGAATGATGTTAATTATTAGTTAATATTTTTTGGGTAGAATCTTTGTCAATATTTAATAAACATGTTTGATCACTAACCTCAGCTAAATACATATTAGGTTTTGTAGTGGTTAGAGAATTAATTAGAGTATACATTAACCTAGCTAATGTGATGATCATTTCATATTCTTCAAAGCTATATTATGAATTATGCATATACACATTCATAATTTTTCTCAACTCTCTCTTATCAACTTATTGCTCTTTGTTAGTGAGCATACAACCAAGTGTCATTCTCTAATTGTTAGTGTGCATACATTTGTAACTCATGCACATATGAAAGGAATCAGTGGGCAACAGCTGAGCTCCGGGCAAAGAAATTTTTTAAAAAAAAAAGCTAATGTGAGATAATCTAAAGTAAGTGATGAAAATGGATTGGATGGGCATTCTACATTCGACCATCCCAGTACTAATTGCTCATAGCCTTCCTCTGAACTTGCAATATTGATCCCTCTGAACCCCAAACCGCCAACCAGTGCTCCCTAAAATTTTACGGTGGGAACTTGATGCTTCAGGTATGAGCTTATCGAGGAGTTGATGGTTCATAGGAGTTGCAGCGGGTTGAGGTACTATTCGCTTTGATTTCATAGGAGTGAGGATTATAGGTGGAGGAATAATTTTCGGCAACGCACCTGGGATCAGGAAGGGAAACAAAAACTTGCTATATATACGATTTGGGGAGAAGGGGAAGGATAGAAGACCAGTGGAGCTGCAAGAAGACACCCCAAGGAACTTCTCGGTCGGCTTTCGCTTCTCAACCCGCTCTACTTCTCACGGATTAAGAAAGGGAAACATCACTGCTATTTGTCCATCCGCCAATTAGAAGATGGGAGGAGGAGTAAATCCGGCAATCCAACAAGCCTTCTAGGAATCGTCGGACGGGAGGTAGGGGAAAGACGCGGGTGCATAAAACTTACTGCGTAATCTGTCCGTATCCGTTCTTCGCCGGCTAGCTCTCTTGCCCAATCGCCAGGGGATCGACGGAGGGGCTCACCGACCTGGTAGTGGAGCCGCCCGTATCTGCCGCGATGGAGATGATGGGATTATCCGGCAATTCAACTTGGCCAATCGCCAATCGATCGTCCAAGGGAAGAAACGGAGTTTAAGGGTAGTGATTAATGAACGGGCCGGGTGCACAATAGTTACTGTGTGTTTGCGAGCAGGGTAGTAAACCCCTTAAGTATACTCGCGGCTTTATTATACTAATAACTAATGGGTAACTCCAAATTGTAATTTCAATATATGTTCTATGGAAAAGTGAAGAATAAAATCTTTGATAACATATGCACTCTAAGTACGGCTCGACTCTTCATACTCCTGGCATTCTTGTTGCCGTTGCCTTAATCATCCCCAAGGCTTTGCCGTTAATGGCAATTCGTAGGCCTCGGGAAGCCAGCCATGGTCAAGGTTCTGAGCTTGATTTGAGGCTGGGAAAGAAGGCATGGATGTAATCAAAGTTGAACATGAACATGTAGATTGAAAACAATAATGCAGCAAAGAGATAAATTATTGGGAATAAACTTTCTAAGTTTCTCATAATCAAAGAGATGCAAGATACAAAAGGGTGGAGGATCATTTTTAAGTCGGTACTACAAAATAACTCAGCAGAGCCATTGTTGAGGTGGTATATGCCCCAATCCTACTCATCATACCTTAATAATAGACATGGTAGTGGATAGATTCATTGGGTAATCTAATCCTTGTTAAAAAAAAAGTTATTTAACCCAAAAGTAATGACTAATATGGGCATTGGGGCAGTCTGAAACGAATTCGTATCCACTTTTGATAGTTTTGAATTTGAGTTGGGTCTTAATTGACATAAATTATATTTGGGTCGTATCATTTGAATTAAGCCCAAATGATATAATTGGATCTAGATGATTGTATAAAGAAAAAGTAAATTGCAAGTTTGGTTACTGGAATCATCAAATTTTTTTTTACGTTTGCCAATAAAAATATTTTATTCCTAATCCTAATCTCTATTTCTCCTGTCCCTACCATCGACATTATATCTGTCAACCGGGCAGGTTCGGGTAGGGTTCAAATGGGTTGCTGGTTAGCCAGATTTCGAGTTTGTCGGGTTGCGGGTTCATCGGTTTGGGTTCAATCAGGTTGCGCGTCAGTCGAGTTGCGGGTTCATCGGGTTCGGGTTCAATTAATTTGCGAGCAAATCGGGTTGCGGGATTTCGGGTTGGGCGGGTTGCGGGCGGATTGGGTTGCGGATTTTTCGGGATAGGGCATCGAGTTACTTACTCCTTACTCGCTACCAACTTACACATTTTAATACACTATATAAAATATTTTTCACAATTTTTGACCAACTTATTTCTACCTCATATATATACTTAATTAAAAAAAACTAGTCAAAATGTTGAATCAATTTGTATGATTTGCAAACTTGTAATGTAATTAATCATAATTGGTAAAGTGCACTAGATAATAGTAATGGCGATATCAACATTTGCAACCAATAGACACTATTAGCAAACCAAACAAAACACCACTATAAAAACAAAAACAAAAAAATACTTTTTCTTATCTCAATATTTTTGGACGACAATATAGATTAATTCAAACGACGTCCTCTTGGATCGAGAATGAAGAAGTTGGGCGGCAATATATATCAAACAAAAAAGAAAATTGAGCGGCAATGCAATGCGAAGCAAAATTGAGTAACAAAAAAAGACATGAATTATATATATATATATGGTAATGACTGGTGTACGTCAGGCGTATAGTATACAACATGTGATCTAACCTTAGATGTACTTAGATGAGCTCCGGCCGATCTCAACGGTCAATTTTTGTTTTTCATTAAATATATATAATAAATTACAAGCTTAATTATCAGTGAAGTATAAAATTTTTGTTTAACAAAAACATATATGAATCAAGGTTCATGGAAATTTTTTGCAAGTCGTTGTCAATCAATAATCCTAATTTATTTCCATATTTATTTCCATATGAAAAATATAGACAAGAGACTAATATTATAAACAACTGGTTATGGGAGATGGAAATCGAGTTTAATATTAAAGGAATTGAAACGTTGGTGGGTCGAATTGGGGGAAATTTTCCCTCATTCGATTTTCATTTTGGTAGGTACAAATTGTAGAGGGAAAGCAAAATGAGAAGAACGAAAAGTGGGGAGGGAAGCATTGGAGAAGTGAAAAATTGGGATGAAGATATCAAAATGTGAGGGGGGAAGTTTCCCACCGAAATGAAAATGAGGTGAGAGAATTAGTGAATAAGATTACGTTTCCAACCTAAATGTAAAATAATATGCATTTCAGATAGGATAACTCTTTACATGTTCTCAAATATTCTATATCAAATTAGTCATGCCTAAAAGCTATAGTAAGGTTTGTTATAGCTATAAACAATATTTTAGTCAGTAAATGTTACACTCCTAAATCATCATCCGTTAACATTGTGATAATCAAATCGATAATTAATTAAACTCGTAAACCATCATATGTAAACATTGTGATAAGCTTTCTCTCTTCTTTCACTTAAAAAAAATGAAAATACATAATTTTCCCTAATTTTTCTTTCCACAAATCAAAAACATCAAAATTTCCCGCCCTTTTCTTTTCCTATAAATCAAAAGCCCTTATCTTCTCCCTTCTTTCTTTTCGCAAAACTTGAAGCACCACATTTTCCTCTTCTTTTTTCTCCAAAAATTTGAAACACCAATATTTTCCACTTCATTCTCGTCTATAAACCAAAACACCAAAACTCCCCCTTCTTCTTTTCTGAAAAATTTAAACTCCAAATTTCCCTTTTCTTTTATCCTCAAAAAGTTGAAAATACCAAAATTTCCCACTTCTTTCTCTTCCTATAAACCAAACCATAAAAAATGCTCCTTATTTCTTTCTCTTCTTTCTTTTATTAAAAATACATAATTTCAACTTAATATCCTTTTTTGAACTTTCATTAATAAAATGAAAAAATAGTGTTACTTAGTCTTACAAAAAAACAAACTTCATTTTGAAATTTTATATAATATATAATATAGTAATTATTCAGGTCAATCGGGCGGATTACGGGTTAGTCGGGTTCGGGCCAATCAGGTTCGTGTCAATTGGGTTACGGGTTTAATAGGATTGCGTGTTAATCGGATTTGAGTTAATTGGGTTGCGGTTATTCTGGTTATGGGTTAATCAGATCATGAGTCAATCGGATTGCGGGTCGGGCGAGTTGCAAATTATTGACTTTTAATCAATTCGGGTTGTGATCGGATTGCGGGTCGGGTTAATCGCGCGAATTCGTCTGATCGAATTCTATTTTAACACCTATAATCGACATCTCCCTTTCCTTGAGCCGACAAGTCTTTTCTTCCTCTTTCCCACAAATTCTCTCTTCTTCATACAATATTCTATTTATCACTCTCTCTAATTT